TCGGTCCATCTATATAAATCTCATCTGTGAAAATGTATTATTGTTTTGAGTTACATTAAAAAGAATGTTACCTGTTCAATCGCATCTTTCTCTCCAGCCTTCTCCAATGCTTTTATATGTGGTGTCTCAAGATTTATGATGATCTGTTTCATCTCTTGTCTTAGTAAACTACAAGCAAATCTGCAGAGGTTCCCAAAAATATGTCAGAAACTATGAAATAAACCCACTAAGAACAATGTATAGATGACATAAGAACAAAAACAAAAGTTTTTTACCCGATATTGATTGCAGTCTCCATTTTGTCTCCGGTTAGAACCCATATCTTTATTCCTGCTTGAGCTAGCTTGTCGATACAATCCGGAACCTAAACCACAATCAAGTTAAACCTGTTATACTCCCTACTCGATCTAAATCCAGATCCAAAACATTTTAAAAATCTGTTAAGAATTTTAGTCTTTAAAAGAGCCATACCCCATTCTGAAGTTTGTCCTCAACAGCAGTAGCACCGAGGAGAATTAAATCGCGTTCCATCCGTTCTGTGATCTCATCGATTAAGCTCTCACGATCCGCTGTCACCGAGTTCTTAGCTTCATTGAAGTTCTTGCTGAATTCTATATACTCATTCTCATCAACCTCGCGGTATGCAAGTATCAGTGTCCTTAGCCCTGCATCTGCATATTCGTTAACATGTTCTCTGGTTTTCTCTTCGAAGTTACGCCCGTTCTTGGCAAGTCTTTCAAACATTACACTGCACACAAGATTCCGAAAAGTCAATATACCTCAACAAAAAGCCTAAGAATGTATAATCTGTCAAGATTGTCTAGTTAAACTTACTTGTCAGCTCCTTTGGACAGTAACAGAAGTTTCCCATCTTCATCACGCACAATAACCGACATTCTTTTCCTTGCGCTATTGAACTCAAGAACGTTTAGTAACCTATATACCCTGCAGAAAACAGAGGAAATGTTAGTTTTTATACCTCAAGAAATTGTAAAGAAGTCGGATAATAAGAAACAAACGAACCTTTCAACTGTTTTCCCTGATGCAAGATCCAGTTCACGGAAAGATATTCCGTTTTGCGTCCTGCTAAAGAACTCAAACCCGAACTCTCTAGCCGCAACAACAAACGCAGCTTCATCAGGAGACTCAGCTTCGTAAGAGACAGCCCCGGTGGCTTCATCTGTTTCGGGTATAGCCGTGTGACAAACAGCTAACAACCTGAAAAACTTCTGCAAAACAGCTGCATCTCGCTGCTTAACCCAATTCCCTTTCATAACCCTCTCATCCTCAAAATTAAAACCTTTGATCTTAGGACCAGATCGGTCCACTACAACATCCAAATCTTCACCAGCCAAACTCGAACCATTGCTTCTCATAGCCATAGATCTTTCAACTTCAGTTATACCGCGTCCATACGCAGTTCCCGCTATAGAACATTTGATAAACTCCATGGAGTTGCAGGTCAAGGTTCCGGTTTTATCAGATAGAATCGTATCAACCATGCCAAGCTCTTCATTGAGATTAGATGTCCTAGCGTGTGCGGGTTTATCATTCTCCTCGTAGTACATAAGAATGTCATTGTTGATGAAAACACTTTGAAGAACTTTAACTATTTCGATAGAGACATAAAGCGAAATCGGAATGAAGTAACTGTAGAGCATAACCGCCGTGAAGAAATGGAAAAACGCGGCCATTAGGGCTCTGTCTGGATCAAAGAAGATATCTGCATCGTCTGGTCTTAAGTACCATCTCTCTGTTCTTCCTCCATTTCTCACTCTATCTTCTCTTGTCTCAATACCGAAAACAATAGAGCCTATGAACGACATCAAAAACACAACACCGAACATCAAGTAGATGATTTTGTCCATTTTCCTCTCGATTCTGCTTCTCTTCGATGGTGGATCAGTTGAGTTTTGAATCACCTGTTTCAGATTTTCAAATTTCAACACTTTTAACACAATTTCTAAAGCATATATAGTAAAAAAAACAGATCTTTAAAGTTTATACCTTTGTGTCATGTCCAGTGAAGACAACAGCTCCATAGATATACTCTGTATTTCTAAGCTTGGAATCTCGAAGAAGAAGCTGTTGAATCGACAATGGTAATCTCTGTTCCTCCAAATGCAAAGTCCCAACATACGTATAGAGATCTGCATTTGGATCTTCGCATCTCACAACAGCTTTTAACTCTTTGAAATCAGAATCTTCATGTAAAGCCGATGAAGTCGCTTCTAAGCCCTGTTTCACTTTCAGATTCGTTTCTCCGTCAAGATTCATCGTCTCTACATAACAAATCGAATCTTCGTAGCTCGACGATAAAAGCAAAAGATCCGCCGGAAAAAACTCGTCTTTCTCAACTCTTACTATATCTCCGACTTTAAGATTCCTCCACTCTTCTTGCCGGAATATTCCATTTCCGTCGTGAACCTTCACTTTCCGGTTATTCATTTCTATATCCTAAAATAAAATAAAAAACAATACTTTATTTTAAAAAATTCTAACTTTAGTAATGACAAATTCGATTCAAGATTCGATAAAACAGACCTGTTTTTTACGACCCCAATCTTCGATTGCTTCTTTAACCATACTGACGGCGATGACGAAGCCGAGAGGTAACAGAGCACTAACGGCGCCGTAAGGAGAGAGAGGAGTCAACGATAAGATCCCGGTGACGAGGAAGTAGAAGTTAGCGACGCGGCGGAACTGTTCGAAAAGTGATTTGGGTATGAAAGAAGCGAGAGTATATTTAGTAGACCGGACATAGTTGCCGGCGTAGTTACGTCGTTCAGCGGCCGGAGAATTAGGGTCGTTACAGTAGACAACACGTGAGAAACCAGGTCCTCCAATATTGGAATGGTCATCTTGAAAACTCGATTTACGACCTTTGAATGCGTATATATTGCTTAGATGTAATCTTCTTCTCCCCCGACACTTGGTCATCTTTGCTCTGTCTGAATACAAACTACTTTTGTTTTAAGTTTTGGCAAATGGGGAAAACTTTTAAGAGAGGGAAAAGAAAAAAAAAGAAAAAAAAAGAATGAAAGAATGAAGATTTTTGTTTTTTGGAACTATAGAATGAAGAAGAATTTTGAGAGAGATATGTTATGTCATATGTGTTATATTATTTTGAGTTTGCAACTCAGAAAGGAAGAGGAACCAGTGTTTTTTATTTCTATTTTTATTTTTTTATTATGAATTTTATTTAAAACCCAACTTTGAACGACGACTTTCAAGTTTCAACGGATTATTACTTTTATTTGACGCTGATTTTTTTTTTTTTTGTTTAATACGTTTTCTTGGTACGGAAGAAATTGAGTAATTTTTTATTTCTTGGGAAATTTCGAATGAGATAGGGAGAAGAAGGAGATTGTAAAATGTAATTTCAACGACAAGAAATTAGGTTTGTAACAAATGTATAGTTGGGAAAAAAGTAGGTTGTGTAATAATTTGAACAGCAAGAGAAAATTTTGAATGGGAATGTAAAAGTCATCGACACTTGAGATGGAGAAAGAACAAAAAATCTCATTGTCAATGATCTATATGTTTTGTTTTCATTGTTCTGGAGTATATAGAAACGAATGGGAACGAGCCGTCGAAGAAGTCTTGAGTCGTTGATGGTTACTAGTATTATTTCGTTTTGAAAATTTCTTGGAAAAGAGAAGAGTCAAGAGGGGAAGTATACTTTGTATATAAGATTAATTAGTTAATCAATGAATTATGTTTTTAAGTTTTAACTTTGACTTGATTGATTCTAAACGTAAGGATTAGTATTTAGTATTAGTATTATTTTATCCTCTTATTTTTTTTTTTTTATAAATTATCAACCAAACAAAAAATAATTGATCTCCAGTGATCCTCGCCAGGCAAGAAGGCTCTCTGTCTCTGTCTCGATCTCCTGATTATAAAAAATAATCTTCTGACACTCTTTTTAGCTAAACACATGTGATAATTAGTTTCCACCTCATAATTTATTTGCCAGTTTGGTAATGCTCAAATATAAAATGAATATTACTATATTAAAGTTTGGCTACAGAATCTGTAATCTAGCTCCATCGCCGAACTTGTTTAGCTCGACGACAACTCTAAATTAAGTTATTTTGCATGTTTTTAGACTAGTTAGTGGTAATTTATACGATACTAATAAAAAAAAAAGTATATAGTATTATTTCTATTCATGTTCTTTAGATCTAGAATTCACTTTTTTTTTTCATAGTCTCACTTTAATTCTAACTCAAGTAACAGATCATGTATCTCTAATCAGTAATCATAGTTTAAAGTGCTGCTTACTTGACCATGGTTAACACATCATATTTAGTATTACGATGTTAATTAATTACATATGATCACGATATATTCATGTGAATAATCTTATTATTATAAGTCACACAATGACACAACACATGCTCACAGCGAATACGTCTCTCACCTACTCTCGTTATCAGGGCTGCGCGACTATTCAAAACGTACCATCTCATCATCTCATGTGTGTAAGCAGCAACGGAACATTTCATTATTATACTACGTAATTTAATAAATAGTCATTATCGTCATCACAGTAATGATGCATATGGGACAAGAAGGGTTTTTTGAATAATCCTTGTTTTGTAAAAAGAAAATTAAACTTTAGCTTTTTTGCTACCATTAAGAAGATATTTTAATTTTAAGATTCGTTTTAAGTTGTAACAAAGAAAAACAAAATTTCACTTTCACACCCGTCAGTGGTCAAGTGATTAGACATCTTCTTTAATTGACTTTTTATTAACTTTAAGTCTCTAACGGGCTAGTGATTATATTGGGCTTTAGCTCTTGCTTACATAACTCTATTTTAAAAGCCCAATAACAAAGAGTGTCCGATCCGGGATCTAAACCGTATCTGTTTAATTAATCCGTCTTCCTCGTGGTAGTAATTACCTTTTTACCCATTTACCGACGACTATTGCCAATTTCACCCTATTCGATTTTTTTTAATCGGGAGTTTTAAAGTTGATAAAGCCGTTGTGTTGTCAGAGAGAAATAAAGGAGAGATTTTTCAATTTGGGAAATTAGGGTTCCAATTTGTATTCAATTCAGAGATTCTTCTTTCGAACTATGTTCACGCCACAGAGAAAACCGTGGATGTCACCGGCGATGACGACGCCGAGAAGCGAGACCCACAAAATCGGCGGTGTTACTAACCCTAGGACCGCTGATAAAAAGGGAAAAGCTGTTGCTTTCAGCGATGACCTAGTGATTTCGACTCTTCCGCCGCCTCCGATTGGTACACTCACCGGAGAAGGCGTTTCTCGTGTTCTGGCTGACGATACGGATATGGGTGATTGGAGAAGGTTTAGGGAGGTGGGTTTATTGGATGAGGCTTCTATGGAGAAGAAAGATAGAGAAGCTCTTCTTGAAAAGGTCTCCACGCTTGAAAAAGAGGTAACCTTTTTATGAAAATTATTGTCGCATTTTCTTATTCTGTTGTCGGGTTTAGCTTCATTTCTTTGATTAATCTATAGCTGCATTTTGGATTCAAACTGATAAGGTAGATATGTGATTAGGTTGGAAGCTCTCATGTGTAATTTAGGCTGATATGGTTTCATATTCTGCTCTCATTGGTTTTTGAGGCAATTGATAACCTTTGGCTGTCCGAGTGTTGAAATGAGTGTTTTGACTCTTTTTTATTCTATCAACTTTTTCATAAATACGAAAGTACAAACTTCAATATTTTCTTATTGATTCTCCTGTGCAGTTATATGGCTACCAGCACAATATGGGTCTTCTTCTCATGGAGAACAAAGAGTGGGCTTCCAAGCACGAACAACTAAATCAGGCATTCCAAGAAGCTCAAGAAATCCTTAAAAGGGAACAGTCATCACATCTGTATGCATTGACGACTGTCGAACAACGCGAAGAAAACTTGAGGAAAGCCTTGGGTTTGGAAAAGCAATGTGTGGAAGAGGTATCATATTTTAGCTTTGACATTATAAATATCTTAACATTGTGTTGTTCTTAGTAATATGAGAATTTATCTACTTATGTGATGCATTGATTTATGGGTGTCCTCTTTTCTGCTGACCTTCCTTAGATTTTTCTGTATTAGGTAGTGTGTTCCTACGTTTGTGTTCTGAATTTTCTTACATATATAATTTTTTTCTTTTCTTTTTGCAGCTTGAAAAGGCTCTTCGTGACATTCAAGAGGAGAATAGCAAGGTAAGGCTCACTTCTGAAGCTAAATTAGCTGAAGCAAATGCCCTGGTTGCTAGTGTGAACGGGAGATCTTCAGACGTGGAAAACAAGATTTACTCTGCCGAAAGCAAACTCGCAGAGGCAACTAGAAAGAGCTCGGAGTTGGAAATGAGATTAAAGGAAGTGGAGACTCGTGAAAGCGTCATGCAACAAGAGCGGCTTTCATTTGCTAAAGAGTAATTACAGATATTAGTTATATGTCTGAAAAATTCAATCTTTTTTGTTAGTCTTACGTGTATGTTGTTGCTATTGCACCACAGGCGAGAATCATATGAGGGGATTTTCCACAAGCAAAGAGAGTACCTTCATGAATGGGAGAAAAAGCTTCAAGAAAAGGAAGAATCCATGCCTGAGCAAAAAAGAAGCCTGAATCAAAAAGAGGAAAAGGTTAATGAAAAAGAAAAGAAACTGACGCTGAAAGAAAAGGAACTTGAAGAATGGAATAGAAAAGTTGATTTGGCTATGTCAAAGTGTAAGGAAACCGAAGAGGACATAACTAAACGTTTAGAAGAATTGACTACAAAAGAGAATGTGAGTTTATTGCAATTTGAAAATAGCTTCTTTAGACTTATATATTATTCTCCTTATATGACTTGTTTATGGTGGTTTACCCTAGGAAGCTCACACACTCCAGAGCAGGCTAGTAGAAAAGGAGAAGGAGTTACAAGCATTTGAAGAGAGGCTCATTGCTAGAGAAGGGGTAAGTTTAAAAGTATATTTAATCTTCATACTTGACAATGCACCTATTAAGCTTATCGCTTTGAATCAAGAATCATTATCATATAAATAGATTTCATTGTTTCTGATATCTGATTATTAAAGCACTTGGTTTGGTTTCTTTCAACAGACAGAAATTCAAAAGCTTATTGATGATCAGAAAGAGGCATTAGCTGCTAAGATGCTGGAATTTGAACTGGAATGTGAAGAAAGAAGAAAATCCTTGGACAAGGAACTCCTAAGGAAGATAGAAGAACTTGAACGACAGAGAGTTGAACTTGACCATAATGAGGAGAAATTGCAGAAAAGGAATCAAGCAATCAATAAGAAGTTTGACCGAGTGAATGAAAAGGAAATGGAACTTGAAGCAAAATCAAAAACTATTAAAGAAAAAGAAAAGATCTTACAAGCTGAGGAGAAAAAGGTAAGTTTGGAAAAGCAACAGCTGCTTTCTGATAGAGAAAGTCTCGAAGACCTACAGCAAGAACTTGAAAAAATCCGATCTGAGATGATGAAAAAGGAGGAATTAATCCAGGAAGAATTCAAAAGTCTTGAAATCAAGAAAGAAGAGAGGGACGAATTCATGAGATTGCAGTCTGAACTCAAGTCCCAGATAGAGAAATCTAGACTCCACGAGGAGTTTCTTTCTAAGGAAGTTGACAATCTGAAACAGGAGAAAGAGAGATTTGAAAAGGAGTGGGAAATATTGGATGAGAAGCAAGCAGAATACAATAAAGAGCGACTACAAATGTCTGAAGAAAAAGCAAAGTTTGAGAGGTTTCAACTGTTGGAAGGAGAAAGATTGGAGAAAGAAGAGAGTGCTTTGAGGGTACAAATAATGCAGGAACTGGATGATATCAGACTGCAGAGAGAATCATTCGAAGCCAGTATGGAACATGAACGCTCAGCATTACACGAAAAAGCCAAACTTGAGCAATCTAAGGTGATTGAAGATCTTGAAATGACGAGAAGGAATCTTGAAATTGAACTTCAGAGAAGAAAAGAACAAGACGAGAAAGATCTACAAACTAGAGTGGCTCTTTTTGAGGACAAAAAAATGATCGAGCTTAGTGATATCAATCACCAGAAGCAGGCTTTGAATAGGGAGATGGAAGAAATGTTGTCCAAAAGGAGTGCCCTCCAAAAGGAAAGTGAAGAAATTGCAAAGCACAAAGAGAAACTGAAAGAGCAGCAATTAGAGATGCATAATGATATCGGTGAACTTAGTACACTAAGCATCAACCTCAAGAAACGTAGGGAAGTGTTTGCTCGTGAAAGAGCTCGTTTTCTAGCATTTGTTCAAAAGCTCAAGGACTGTGGGAGTTGTGGGCAGCTGGCGAATGAGTTTGTACTCTCTGATCTCCAACTACCATCTAATGAAGAAGAAGCTATACTACCTCCTACTGGAGTTTTAAGTGATCTTCCAGGAAGCTCTGACGAGTCTGACTCTTGTAATATTAAGAAATCTCTGGACGGAGATGCCTCTGGAAGTGGGGGATCTAGGAGGCCCAACACGTCGATACTGCAGAAATGCACTTCAATATTTTTCTCACCAAGTAAAAAAACTGGACATGGGATTAACACAGACAAGTCTGACCAGCGTCCATCCTCCTCAGTGGCAGTTAATATGGAAAAAATAGGTGAAAAGCCTCTGCCAGTTGATCTCCGACCATGTCCATCTAATAGCTCAATTCCGGAGGAGGATGAGGAATATACAGACAGTAGAGTACAAGAAACTTCTGAGGGTTCTCAGCTGTCTGAGCTTCAAAGTGCGAGGCGCGGGCGCGGACGTGGCAGACCTAGGAAAGTGAAACCTGCTTTGAATCCTAAAAGTTTGGTTAAGCATGCAGGCCCTGAAGAATCATCAAAAGATGAATTGAGTGGTCGTGTGTCTGTTACTAGCAAGAAGACAACAGGTGGAGGTGGAAGGAAAAGACAGCATATTGAAGATACTGCTACTGGTGGACATCGCAAGAGACAACAGACAGTTGCTGTCTTACCACAGACCCCTGGCCAAAGACGATACAATCTGAGGCGGAACAAGACGTAAGTTTCCTAACATTGTGACATTGAGTTTTAAGGCTTTAATATGGCTTCACATGATTGCTTAGGATATGTTGAGATAGAGAATAAAGGTCCCTTGCATTAGTTTAGTTTCACTATTATAATTTAAGTGTAGTATAGCCGTAATTATTCAAGTTTCCTATCATTGTTGTGTTTTAGTTCTGTTAATTGATTGCCTAAAATCTTATGAGTGAACAGTGACCAAGTTCCAGCAGATGTTGAAGATAATGCAGCTGGTGGTGAAGATGATGCAGACATTTCTCCTTCTGTGCCATCAAAGGAAAATGTGGAAGAAACTTCTGAATCAGTGATGGAATCACTTCGAGCCAGAAGATTAGAAACTTCAGAAGTTGGGGTTGAGAGAGTCGTAATGGTAAGAAAAACTTCCCTTTTTTAGAGTTTACAACGTGCGCTCTGGATGATTAAAACCTTGCTGATAAAAATTTAGCACAAGAAAAAACAAGCATACATGCTTAACAATATGGTTATTTCTTTGGCAGGTTGAAACAATTGCAAATCTTGTTACTGCTGATAACAATGGGGGTGTTTCGGTGGCAAATGCAGAACCAATAGCTAATATCACGACGAGCCCCTCTGTTGAAGATGACCAGAAGCAGAATACAGTAAATGAAGATGATATGAATGAGGAACATGAGGATGGAGATGAAGAAGCTGAAGTCCAAGGTGATGGTGATGGTGATGATGATGATGATGATGATGATGATGGTGATGATGATGGTGATGATGATGAATCACCAAGACCCGGTGAAGGATCCATAAGTAAGAAGCTTTGGACTTTTCTCACAACATAACCATCTGACGTGGATGATCTAGGAGATGTTACTTTCAACATTTATTTTGTAAAACCATTTATAGCTTCTTGGATCCAAAGAAAAAACCCTTTTGATAGGGGTAAACGGGTGAAGTTAGAGAATTATAAACAGAGGCGTGTGTTTTTAATGGATGTACTTTGAATTGACAGAACATAAAAGCCAGAATCCGGAAGGATATTATTGATTACAAAATAAATGTCAAAGGATTAATTTCAGAAAAGCAGAACATTAAAAAAGAAAAATCTTTGTCAACATTAAATTTAATAACGCTTTGATATGTGTGCTTCTCTGCATGCTCTATTACATAGAGATATATGTTAGTATACGTATTGAAAGTTCCATATGTGCATGTATGTATGGTTATGGGAACAAATGAAACCCTTTACTTTATGTGACAAAAGAGGAACATGTAACCAAATTCTCTTCTTTTACTTTTTTTAACCATTTGAATTGTAATGAGAAAAGCTATTGATTCCCAACGACCTCTCGCTCTCCCTTCAATAAATAGTAGCAAGAGCCAACCCAAAACCCAAATAGAAAGAGGACAAAATACATCACACGCTCTGTTTCACCTGTTCTTGTTCTCTGTGTGAGCAATGTTGTGGCAAACGTTTTTTTACTCTGTTCTCTTACTATCTCTGCTATTCAGGTGTGCCGGAGATGAATCTTTACCTGAAGTAACTGATTCTGAAGAAGCTCCAATGGACAAAAGAGAACGAGAAGCCTTGTACTCTGCGATTCAAGGATTTGTTGGTCATTCTTGGAACGGATCTGCTCTCTATCCTGATCCTTGTGGTTGGACTCCAATTCAGGTTTTTCTTACAATACTCTCTTTCTTTAAACCCTCTTTTTAGTTTCTCTCTACTGTCATATTTTGTTTGAGGTCAAGTCCTTAATTGTCATAGACTCTTGAAGATAGTAAAGAGCTTGAGCTTATGATGATGATGATGATGATGATGATGTAGAAACTTTTGAGCCTTTACATGTTGTTGAATCAATCAAACTTAACTTCAAGAAAAGCTTGTGAAATGATGTGTAAAGATTTTTTTGTTTTCTAGCTGTCGCAAATTATTCTTGAAAATGCTTTGTCCCCTTTGAAAGTTTTCCATAATCGGATAGTGAAGTTTAAAGCTTCAAAGCAACAAAGTGGATCCTATTTTCATATAACATCTCTTTTTGAGGGTTTCTTTAAATGTTTCAATGGTTGTTACAATTATATGCTCATTGGCCCACCAATCATTCCTATATTTTGCAGCTAAGTGCTCTTTCGAAAATCCAAATTTTACAAAGAACAAAATAAAAATACGTTTTTGTTTTGGTTTCAGGGTGTTTCATGTGACATCTACAATGACTTGTGGTACGTCACAGATATGAGTTTAGGGCCTGTTTATGAAAACTCTCTTGCTTGCTCCTCAAGTCTTCAGATAAGGCCAGCGTTATTTGAGCTCAAGCACTTAAGATCTCTCTCCTTCTTCAACTGCTTTATCTCTCCCATGGTGATAGCTAATAAGGGCTGGTTAAACTTCGCATCCAACTTAGAATCACTCGAGTTTAGATCCAATCCCGGTCTCATAGGGAAGCTTCCTGATACAATTGGCAATCTCACACAGCTGAAGTCTTTAGTGGTTCTTGAAAATAGGTTCAATGGAGAACTACCGGCGAGTATCTGCAACTTGAAGAGTCTCAAGCGGCTTGTTTTCTCAGGAAACTCATTCGGGGGAATGATACCAAACTGTTTCAATGGGTTACAAGACCTCTTGATCTTGGATTTGAGCCGCAACTCTTTATCAGGGACATTGCCTTCATCTGTTGGAGATTTGGTTTCATTGCTCAAGCTTGACCTAAGCAATAACCTCTTACAAGGGAAGTTACCTCAAGAAATTGGTTTTTTGAAGAACCTGACACTTTTGGATCTGAGGAAGAACAGAATCTCTGGTGGGCTGTCCGATAACATTGAAAACATTCAATCTCTTACAGATTTGGTGCTATCAGACAATCCAATGGGTGAAGAGGATCTAATGGGAGTAAAGTGGGAAAAGATGAACAATTTGGTGGTTTTGGATTTATCCAAAATGGGTTTGAGAGGTGAGATTCCCACTGCTCTAACCAACATGAAAAACTTGAGGTTTCTTGGTCTGAACAACAACAATCTAACCGGTTATGTTCCGTCTAAGAAGCTTGAGGCTTTGCCTTGTCTTGGTGCTTTATACATCAATGGAAACAACTTAACAGGTGAGCTTAGATTCTCTAACAATTTCTATGAGAAGATGGGAAGAAGATTCAAAGCTTCAAGGAATCCAAACCTTTGCCAACCATTGGAGATGGTGAGCTCACAATCTCATAGACATGTGCTTCCTCTTGGGGTGAAGCCATGCACTTAGACTAAGGAAGTGGAGAGGAGTTGAAGTGATCATCACCAAGCTATCTATTTTATTTTTCATTTTGGTATATATGTAAGAATATTTAATCTCGTCGAAAATTTCTATTATTGTACTACATGGCCCATAAATGAATATGATGACAATTTGAAACAGCCAAAAGTCTTAATGGGCCGAAATTGAGGTGTTAAATCAATAAAAAATGAAAAAATGGCCCATGCAGGTTTCGAACCTGCGACCTTCGCGTTATTAGCACGACGCTCTAACCAACTGAGCTAATGGGCCATATTGATGAATTCGTATGTTTTTCGTGAAAAGACGATAATGAAACTATGAAGCTCAAAACAAGAAAAAACAAACTTTTTTTGTAGGAAACTATTTAATACAGTGCTACGGAGTAAAGTACGAGCAAGATGCCAACATATAGATTTAGACTAGTCACAAATAATTGCTATCGCCATGTCTCATAAAGAGACGATCATAACATATACATTATAAAAATAATCGTGAGATAAGATAATCATATGCAGTGTTATGGGAAAGAAGAACACATAATGTGAAGGCACCTGGAAAGAAGCCCAAAATGTTCTAGATTTGTGGACAAAAACAAAAACCAAACAAAGGAACACAACTAAATATGGAAATTTAATAACTAGTTGGTTCAATGGGACGAATAGTGTCTGAATGTTTCTTTTCTTCCACAGAGATAATGTCAACAAAGAAAAAAAGTCGCAGAACACCGAATATAAATAAAATAAAAAAAATCAAATAGTTGATTTGTTGTTTGAGACATCGTAGGCCATCTCTTGTTCATTTTTCAGTACACCGAACTTGTTTAAACCCAACCATTTGGATCGACTTCGTGGTGTTTGAAATTCCTAGTTGGAAATAAGACGAACTGTATGGATCGGATCAGTCCACTTGGCGATACTTGTTGGTTAGACCAGTTAGAAATCTCTGTTTGTGTGTTTTATCTAGTAAAAAGTTAGAAACCTTTGTTTGTGGATGTAGCAAGGTCGGAAAGAAGTGTTCAAAATTACACCTGAGAAAATAGTAAACCCATTTAAAAAAAAATTGAAGTATCAGCTAGCTATTACATATTATAGTAATACATTATTAAAACAACAAAAAAAAGGTTTCGGTTTCCACCTTTAGTTGAATTCGGAAGATATCTCAAACATGATCTTTGTTTTTTTTTAAAATCTATCTTGTCCTATTTCATTTGTCATTTCCATCACAAATTTAATCAAGGAAGGAAAAAAAAATGGTGTTAACTTTGGTTTGCCCACCCTAAACCAATGGAGAACGGCTTAAAGACAATTAAGAAGGAATGTTAGGCCAAGAAGAAAAAAAAGACATTTGAGTAAGAAGAAGTACAAAAGGAGATAAGTTCCAGAAAATACACAAGTACAAAAGGAAACCATAAGGTTTGAAAAGGTGGTGAGTGGTTCAATTATTACAAACTTTATTTATTAGGGCAAAACACAAAATTCGTAGCCCGAGAAGAAGTGAAAGAGACAAGAGAGAAGAGACCGGTGGTGATGATGGTCACGACGGCGACGATGGTAGGACCGCCGCACGTGGTCTGCCTTACCTATGTCTCTCCATTTTGACCAGTCAACGTACTTGCCTCTTTAATTATTGGAGTTCCTTCTCCATCTTCTTTAGTACATATATGAATATATGCTGTTCAATTAAAATTTTCATTTTGTTATCATGACTCTCTTTTTTCATCTAAATATACTTAAGGATGCTACGATGAGTTAATGATTCAGTTCTGATGCTTTAATTATGAAGCTTTATGATTCAGTTCAGAGCAGAACTATCAGATTTAATCCGATTATGAGTTTTGACAGTGTTGTTCTTGAATTTCAAAGAATTAAATTATTATTCGGTGCGGCTCAATTTTAATACTTTTAACCTGGTTAGTAGTGTGCGACTGTGCGGGAGCTTTTTTTGTATCCGTATAGTTTATAAGTGTAATTTTTTATTTCATCTATATATGTTGCAAATGATTATTTTTGTTTCACTATTAAGGGATTAGTGATAAATGGTAATACTTAAATCGATTTGTCCTTTAAGAAATCGAAAACGGCTGATTAAAGAAAAGAATTAGACGTGAAAGGTCGTCCATCATAATTATATTAGCACCTAATTATGATAAGTAAGAAGGACCAACAAAACTAATGATTTTGAAATATTTGTGTCCCTTGGTTTATATATATAGTCGCACTCAAATTATATAATACTCCATCCCTCTCATTACATACGTATTTCGATTTTTGAGCAATGTATCTAAATTTGATTAGCTTTATAAGAAATTATAGGCTCATTTTAGAATGTACTATCAACAAGTATTTGTTTAACTTACTTTGAGAACTAAACAGATACTTACTAATCAACACAAAATCATAAAATTTTGAGCCAGATCATGGGACATATCGAAAATTGTGAGAGTTCCCCAACGAACTAAAACTAAAAGTAGAGTTCTTGTTGTGTCGGAATTAAAATGCATTAATTTAACACATCCGCATGCGTGGGGCAGCAATAATCACCAATTAACTAACTAATTATACCTTAATGGTGAATTTTGATACTATTAAACCGCAAAAAAAAAATGTTATGATATTGTTGCCACATCTGAGTCAGGAAGAGAGAGTTGGTGGTAGTTTGACTAGATAAGGGGTTTAATACTTTAATTAGTTGAAGAGAAGTATTATGAAGAAAAAATCCCAAGAAATGCTTGCTTTATATGATATCTTTAAGTATCATATTGTTGCCATATGGAAAAACTTTTATATGATCATGCATGATCTCACTACACATAAAATATACAAATAAAATCGTGTGATTAGTGTATTAAATAAGAGAAAACACTTGAGTATAAGGTAACGACCATTATTTACATTACGCGTAAATCATTTATATTTCGAATGTCATAGAACAAAAAGCCAAAAGCCATTACAAAATTTTGTCAACTCTTATCTCTATTATGCAGGCTAATATTTACAATACTGCCCTCTCCTCCACTAAATTCATCGAATTTTCCATATTTGCTCAAAAAGAACAAGAATTTGCTAAACGATGGAGAGGTCTAATCAAAACCAACTCTCAAACCCTGAACCGATTCATCCACTATATCTCGCCTCTAATCAAACCCGATCTTCCCCGGTTAAGCTCCAATGTACATCACGATTCGTCTCTCTCCACCACACGAAAGCTTGTCTTTATACATAACGAATTGTGGATGAATCTGATAAAGAGAGAGAGATCAGTCGTGCCAACAGAGAAGCATGACGACACATCTTCGGATGATGTAAAGCTTAGCTCTCTGTTCTTTAAGAACAGCTCCAAGTCCTTTACTCGATACCCTTCTCTTTGAACCTCCCATTCTTTGACTTGATCCCATCTTCATCTTCAATATATATCGATCGAACGACTTTGGCAAGAAAAAGACAAGTTTATCTTTAGTGTTTCTTAGGGCTTTTGCGAGAGATATGTTATATAAGGAGAAGTAATGAAAATGAGGATACAAAGAAGAAATGAGTTCTTGTTTTATAGAAGAAGAGAAAGATTGAAATGAGACCCTACACACTTCTTTTTCACTACCCACTTGTGTGTGTTTTGTTTGCGTTATTGCAATTTAATTATTATCATTGAATGGTTTAATTTACATGGCCACAATTTCACAAAACCCCCAAACATCTATGCCCTATTTGTCCCCGTTGTTGGTTTGTGTATCATTGCACACATGCATACCACGTGGCGGATTGATTTTTTCCTCTCTTTTTTTTGGTTGTAATTCTTCTCTTAATTACTTTTTGTCAAACAAACGAAAATGGCTAATCTCCTTCAACCTCTAGATGTTAATATTGCTTCTAGATTATTATTGTTCAGTTGGAAAAAAATAATATTGCTTCTAGATCTTAAGGTGGTAAAATTCGAGGATTCAACAATAGTTTAAACCAATCAAACGAAACGAGGTTTAAGTTAACAAACACTCATAATAGAGTAGTGGTTTTATTAGTGTTATCATGTTTTTGACATCAGACTATCAGATCGCAATATGCCAATACACAGATTTGTCGTTATAGAAAATAGATTTTCTCAGTGACGCCTTACTTTTTCTTTCTCTCTCGAGATACAAATGGAGTGGCCGACGACGAACCATTATCTTTTTTTAGTAGTACTAATATTTAAGTAAGAAATTGTAATAATATTTTAACTAAAATTGAAATGAATTTGGAAAAAAAGGAAGGAAATGAAAAACTATTTTTTTTTATGAAAACCATAACGATAGGGAAATTTCATTAATTTTTATCCTATTATTGTAATAAATATTTTTCAGCCTATTATAATTTCTTTAGAATTATAAACGGTTATATCAGAACAGAAGCTTCTAAAAAAGATAAGAAGCCGAGAAAAGTTTCAAACTCAGGTCAGGTCTCAGATCTTACATGTACTGTACTTAAATTAAAAATCATGCATCTGATATATATTTTCTTCTGTAGAATTTTCTTCATTTGTGGATTTCGTATTACTAAAACTCATTCATGATTGATAGTTTCTAAGAAGCAGACTTCTCTAAACAATAAAAACAAAATTTTGTAAAGTTGACTAGAAAAACAATTTGCCGCCGATTGATCACATCAGCTCGTACGATATTATGAATACACAAAAAAATATCAACGAGATAATATATTAATTCGTTGTGACCACAGTCAAATTTTGTGGATGATATGAATAGTTGGGTTTATCAACTATTTATTTTATTTTTCTTTTGTAAACATGTTGGATCCACGTCAGTGTACTAATCTACTACACCTTCCACGCACAACTTCAGTTTCTATTGTGTTCTGTGATGTAAAGGAATTGTAAAATTCCCTTTACTTGCTAATGTTTTTTTTTTTAATTACTTTAATCACACAGAACGATTTAGTTATTTATTCATTCTAGACTTGTATTAATGTATTATTATCAAAGACATTACCTGACAAAGTTAGTATTATAGTCAACAATATTATAGTTTAAAGAAGATGCATGTCCCGATGTACGTATTTGACTATATAGTCTATAGTAAAGTTCATTTAATTTAGATTCTAGAAGTATTGGTAATGCAAATTCAGTTTTCGCAAACTTGTTATCAAAACAAACTGTCCAACGTTATTGAATTATGACTTCGGTTTTTTTAATGTCTTTTTTCAACTCTTGTAAAATGTCCATGACGTGGCATGCATGTTGAGATTCGTTTTATAGTGATAATGTATAATTAATCAAAGATTAGTTGCATTAGGTGACGATTACTATAATAACTTGTAAACTAATTTGGTCTTCGGGTGGCGCACGTACGAATTATGAATAATTATACCAAGAAAATGATAGCGCATATACGTTTCAAGCTTAATAATTAAGTCGTCTATGAGTACTAATTTTTTAATTTTCTTTGTCTCCTAACATAACGATATATATTTAAGTTCTGATGCATTGTTAGTTAGCTTAAGTACATTATACATCGAAAAATGTGGATGGAGGAGTAATTTAAGAAAATATTGGTATTGAGGATCGCACACGTACACATATAAACGTGTATAGTATTAACTAAGAAATATTCTTTTAATCTGTGTAAGAATCGTAAAAGTATATTAGTACGATTCTTTCAAGCGTTACAAATTCCACATGTTAGTACAGTAGTAGTACTAATTAAGAAACTAAGAATCATTCTTTTTAGTTCAGGTGGATTTGATTGGAGTGGGAAGGCCATGTGTAGAGGAGTTACGATCAAAGTATTCGATCTAGTCCATATTTCTAAAACAAAAAAAAACTCAAATATACAAAATGTTTAAAAGGCACAAACAAAAAAAATAAAGAGATTGTTGAAGTCTCTCAGCAAAAAAAAAGAAATTTAGAAGGGCATGTGGGCTTCGTGGATAAAACGGAATGCACTTATAAGGCTTCTTACCTTCTTGATAGTTGATATAGCCTTTAAAGGTCAGAATCAGCCCCAATTAATGTTCAAAAATATAATCATTGGCCCAAATACACAAAAATATAAATAAAACGTAAGTGAAGTAGTGAACTCGGACAATTCGACTGAAAAACGTGGTTACTTTTCCGTAAATTATGCCATGTTAATTAGATCCGTACAATCTTTTTTTTTTTTTTTAAACAAACATTTCGGCACATATCACGTATGTTTTTTTTTGTCTCCCACAAGATGAGGTTCTTGTTTCTCAATGAAAATATGTGTTTTGGTAATGTAAAGTTGTAAACCAATATTGTTAAGTGTCGTCAACACCAAACTCTTATTAATGTTTTGATCTTTGAACTACAAAAATGAATTATCAATTGAAGTAAATAACAAATAATAGAGATACATCTTATTGTAACCCATTTTGTTACATAACACATCAAACTACTGTTGCAAAATCTAACTAACTCACTTCGTTAACCTTTTCTTCTCTTTGATTCCACTTGGCTTAAAACTTTTTATCACGTGATTGGTTAAACACCGTCAGATCAAAACACAACACCTCTTCGATCATCAGCCACGTGGCTTTCATAGACGTATCTTCCACGTCAGCAAAACACGGCCACGTCTCCCTCTTCTCTCAACACCACCGTCCGATGTTATTATTTTATTGCCATCATCAGATCAGCTGTCAGAGATCAACGGTGAGTAACGAAACAGATCATAAGGCGCCCATAACGAATCCAACGGACAAGGCCGTCTCGAGTCAAGCCTTAGCCATGGCTTCCCTTTCCCGCTCCAATGCAACAAACTCACCGGTCCTGGATGCAGATTCCGGCAAAGTCCCTCCAAGTTATCTCCGCCGAGACCATGCTGGTTCCACCTATGCTCCACCGGCTCAACATCTCCGGCGAAAACAAGCAGAAACGGAGGCAAAGACCCCAACTCGTAGATACGATGTCGTTTCTGTATCCTCATCCACGTCTCAAGCTTCACCGTAACTCTCCGTTCCCTCCATTTCCCGAGATCAATCACCATCACTCCGGTGTTGAAGTAACACGGCTTACGCCCCTTCAACGCCGATTTGTAGCCTTGGCTCGACCAGAATCTTGAAGTGAAGTAGTTGGTGAAGTTAGCGTGACAGTACTCCGGAGCTCCGACGACGTGACGACGCAGATCGATTCCCCAGAGCTTGGCCACGTCGTCGACGACTACTAGATCGGAGTCAAAGTAGATTACGCGGCGTACGGCGACGGGGAGGAGATCGGCGAGGTAGATCCGAGCGTAGTTCAAAGGCTGGTCCAAAGCACGACGGATCGAGGAGGAGATTTTGCTGCGGACGAGGTTAGGGTCAAAATGGTAAATTTGGTAGGTTAGGTAAGGGAAAGTTGAGGAGATAATGCGGCGGAGATCGGCGCTGCGGCGGTGAGTGGCAATGAAGTGGAAAACAACGTTCTCAGGACAAGAAGCGTGCTGTAGAACGGAGAAGACGCCGGCGACTGAGCCACGGAGGTAAATGGCGTCGAGAGTCATTGCGATGTGGATGAGCGAAGGGTTGTGCTCGCGATCCGACGGTGACCATGTCGTTTTGGAGCATTCTATGCCGTTCCGAAACGCCGGAGCTTCGCGAAACGCGGGGAGGTCGTCAGAGAGAGCGACTGCGACGCAGCTAATCGTGATTGGTAAGAGTAGGAGTAGAGATAAACGCAAACGCAGACGCGGTGATGACATTGTTTAAGGCTTGTGTGTTCTGTGAGTGAGTAGAGAGACAAGAGAGTGTGAAAGAGAAGGCTTTTTGTTGTGTCGGTTGTTAATGGCGGATCAGGGGTAGTTTCGATATTTCGAGTCATTTGTTTTTCTCGTTAAAATGCTTAATTGTTTAATTTGACGTTACTTGTTTATGGAGTAATAATAATAATCATGAAAGTTAATGAATTAAGTATGTTTTTGTTGGGATTCAAGTGCACGCACCAATGACAGACGTGGAATTTTTTCATAACGCTCGAGTCAAGTAAAATATAATTTTAAGTGTTTACTATCCCAAGAACATTCGTATTCATTGCACCAAAATAATGCATTCATATTTCATGTTAATCATTTCTTTTACGTTGATATTATTACTCTATTATTCTATATCAGATATAAGGCAAATAATATGTGATACTATAGAATTACTTATAGACTTGACTATTATTAATGCATTTATCTTAGTGAGTTACTTATAATATGCCATAAATGATAACGAATCCAATTTGGTTATTACAGAACCCGTAAAGCCATATTCACAAGACTACTACATTGGTCCATGATACAAAAACTAAAGACGAAAGTTGTAAACGCAGATGTTTGGATGTTTTCCATTTGTTAAAAGGAATATTAATATACACTTCATTAGATTCTTTCTTTCTTTTTTTCACTCTTTCCAAGTTTCATATCCACTAAAAATTTGTCTTTAAACTGTAATGTCATCATGGTTTTTGGATATCACATGTCTACAGTATAACGATACGAATTCTTAGATTTTTTTTCTTTCAAATATAGATATTGAGTATAAGTATAATATTTCATCAAGGCATAATGTTGTATCGATTAAGCCAAAACATGTAAATACAAATTAGTAGTATATAGGTAGAATGGTCCGGCCTCCTCATCCTATCTTCACATAATTGAAATCGAGGTTCTATGAACTTTGTTTAAACCCATTGTGCCATTATTATTATTTTCGAAAATTCAAATCCTCCCCCGAACCCGATCGACTGCTGTAGAAAAGTTAGATCCCACCGACACAAAAACACAAAGGCCTCATCAATTATTATTTTTTCATATATATAAATAACTATGGACAGACAAAAGTGGCTACCCTATCAATTTTCTGTCTCATTAGCTTTATGATATTCAAATTTTAACATTTTATATTTTGGCATGCTAACACAACCTTACCAAAGGGTTCAAATAGTACGTAAAAAGGAAAATGATTCTTAAAAGATATGGACGAACTGTATAATGAACTTACACACAGAAGATTAGTGTTCAGCTCGATTTTGTTCGACTCTTAACAAAAGTCAAAACTGCATAACAACAATTGGAAAACTGTTTTGTTTAAAATGCTTGGGTTTCTTATATGTAAAATGATATCTTTTTCCTTCATGATTTCATTTGGGTAATAATGTGATTATGTGTGTTGTCCGACCCAAAACTTAAATTAAGGCCTAATCTTATAATATCTGCTAAGCCCAATTAGATAGTATTCTCAGGCCCATTATTATGATATGGTTTCAGATATATTTATGATGTTGCAAATTGAGACGAGGATAAAAGTATTCTTAATGTAGAAAACAAAATGTCGTTAACAGTTGGACGCGAACGAAACCATGCGAACCGAGTTCTACGTACGAAATATTTCTTTTTTTTTTCTTTGACTTGAGGAAAAAAAAAAGAAACATTCCACGATTAATATAAGGAACGTAGTCTTATCGAGAATTGTAGTCTCGTTGAAGTAGAATTGAATATTTTTGTAGCATCTATGTATGATGATACTAGGAAATATCCTCCATGTGAAAATTCTTTAATACAAGAAGAAAAAATAAAGAAACAAAAAACCAAAAAACCAAAAAACCAAAAAAAAAACTGACGAAATTTGAAAAGTCTACAAGAGTACAAAGCGACTTAGAGAGTTAAAACTTAAAAGACTTGAGTGAATGAGAGTTTTTTTTTTTGAACTGGGTCGACCGTGGAGCTCTCCGAGTAGTACGTCGTACATACAAGTCGGTACAACTCATTCTTGCGTGTATTTAGTAATTAAAAAATAATATATATATATATATATATATATATATTTATTCTTTAGTTGGACAAAATCTAGTGTCCGCTACAACCGTACATATATATTTTTCAGTTTATTCAATTTTAAAAATTGAAAATTATTCTATTACATGATTTTCTAACCATAAAATCGAGTATCTATATTGATATGGTAGACTCCCAAAGTAGAGTTTAAATCGGTAATTGATAACATAATACGTTTTGATAAACAAATATTATATATCAAACAACTTTATTCTTTATTCTTCTTGAGAATATATTATCTAACGCTTCTGTTGGAACTTTACAGCCCGATGTTAAAAAGCAGATAAACCTATGAGAATTTTCCACATACACGTATTTAAATTTATCCTTACGGACATGCTAAACATTACATAACAATTTTATATTAGTGAACTATATATATGATTGAGAATTGATGGAAGGTGCAAAAAAAGTCAAAAAAAAATTATATATGCAAAGCTGGCAGATAGACTTTGATGGATTAGAAGGAGAAGACTTTTATAGAGATTGGTGTTGTTATTATGTGAGAATTATAAAGAAGTAGCAAGTGGGTACTTTCTTTTAAGACCAATGACCCATCCTCTTATTTTTGTTTTGTTACGTTGTAAGTTTATAAAACAAATTAAAATCACGTATTAAACATATAGCATTTATATTATCTCTATCCAAAGTCTGTGTCTTAATCGTACTGATATTTCTTCTTACCAAATAATTAAATAGTAACATTACGATATCTCTGATGAGTGATCCTGATTGTAATTTATACACTACATTGTTATTATATGTAATATGTACCATTATCACTGTATGTGGGCTGTGAGTTTGTGTATGTATTTATACGCATTGAAAGCTTCCGCAGCTAATTCATAAGGTCGCTAATTCAATATTCGAATTGTCAAAAAAAACTTTATGAATAAAACCAAAACTGTCTTAGATTTGTTGAGATTCATGTTGATCTACCGAAACAGGAAAGAATAAGAAAACAAAGTTTATATCAATCAATCAAAAACTGAATAAAACTCTAGATATTAAAAATAAAATAAAGAACCCCTGTAAATTAAAATGTCAATCCTAGTTAAAACAGTATAACTGTTAGAACCTAACATTTATGTTCTTTTTTAAAAATGACAATTAGAATACAGATTTATCATAAATCTACTTACATCACGAAAACGTCGCCGCTGTATTGTTGTAACTTGTAAAAGTGTTAAAATATCGAACCTTCTTCAAGTTATTGACTCGTTGTGCTTTGGATGAATTTGTCAACTCTTTGTTATATAATTCTATTTCTTTCTATTTATATGTTTAATCTATTTCTGATTTATTTGATCGTTACTTTTCAATGTTTTCATGGGTATACCTCGCATATAAATACAAAACATCGCGACTTTAGCTTTTGACGTCTCCGACCTCTTCCCTAAGTTTGACTATTCGAAGATTATAAAGGCATCCTCGTTAGGGATATCTTATGAGGCTAAGATACCCCCACTTTTCCAAAGAAAATCCTTATAAGATACCCCTAATGAGGATGGTCTAAGGTTATTTAGCTCGAGACAGAAAAATAAGGAAAAAAAAAGTTTTTTCTTATTTACTTTTTACTTTTGCTCACGACTACTTCCACTACATAAAGTTAATTATTTGCTTAATTATATTCTAATATCAATTAGTTTAAAATGTTTCACTTACAAACTATTATTAATATATCCTCAAAATCTCACGTGCAGTTATTATTATTATAGGCTTATAAAGTTATAGCTATGCACTTTAGAAATACACAACTTATTAAAACAAGTTAATGTACGTAAATGTATCAGACGAAGCCAAAACCTTAAGTATACTGTGTTAGTCTACCCATTATTGGAAAAAAAAACTTATAAAACTTCTTAACTGTCATTTTATAAAAATAATTGTCGTTTTAACAGCGATTTGTGATGTTGGACTCCGTCAAAGTCACCGGCGGAATGTGTAACATCATATGGTGTCTTAAAATTGTCGGTCCGTGAATACATATGTACTGTATATACCTATACAGATTTAAATGTCAAAGTGTATTATAAAATTATAAACAGTATTATAAAATATTGAATTAATCAACAAAATGTGTTCTCCGTCAACATACATGTGATACTGAACATATACTTGTTTGACTTTCTATAATATACAATGCAATAACTGGTTTTTGTGTATCAAAACAAAATAAATAAAAGGAGTATCACTTAATTTGACGGTGTAATAGAGTAAAATTTACTTATAATTCCAAACTCCAAGTTGAGCTTAACTTAATAGTTTAGTACCCATTAATATATGTTGAGTTAAACTATCTTTGCAACATACAAAATATATAAAAATAATACGTATATATAATTATTTATAGCAGCAAATTATAAGATTGAATCATATTAGTGATTATAATATTTTTGAGTCGCTGAGCCATTGACGACTTATTTTTAATATTAGTAGTAGTCAACATATTTTTATATTTCTCCCTTCTCTCTTGTTGACTTGGTCGCATTAACTGTTTCTACGAAATTATAATGTCTGGCTCAGCCGGTTTGCACTGGACAATCTCGCAATCAGAGAGACATAACCGGTTTAGCTCCTAAAATGTATTTCATTTTCTTCTAATCCCATTTTTGACATCACCTTCTCAACCAATGGGACGAGTTATGTGCACACAGAGATTGTAAACCCTACATCTTTCTTTTATTTATTTATTTTTTATTTTTAAGTTAGTAGTCAACAAAAGCAACTTCGAGTTAACATGAGAAAAGAAACGAGCCCGTGAACTTGACTATATTATTATTTTAAGTCTAATTGTTCATTGACGTGATTTGGTTTTGTTTAGTCCATGATTTTTTATTTGATTTTGTCTATTAATCTCTTTTTTTCTTCTTTAAAATTAGTGCGTGGAAATATATATATTAAGATATAGGAAAATTATAAATTGCATGTGAACTTCACTCATGTAGACATTGTTATTTGGTGATAACGAACTTTCTTTCTACGCCAATGTTTTTTCAAATCCCACATAAATAATTAAAGTCCAATTACAATCAGTTTGAAGTAGTAGTATGAAATTAGTCCAAAAAAAAAAAAAAGTATGAAATTAGTCGTAGGAGATTTGCA